GGGGGGGGGGGGGTTCACACTGAGCTCTTAGTAACCCGCAGACTGAACTTCGTGGAACCTGAGAGTGACCAGCTAGGCCAAACTTCACTGCGGATCAGCCTGGAGGCTCAGCCCCTGTGGGTGTCGAACGGGGATCTCCTGGGAAATGTAGGTGAAAAGCTGGAGAAAAGCGAACGTTTTGGACCTTACGCTCCAGAGAGGAAAAACCTGGTCCCATGTGTAGGGAGCGAGAGCACAATGGCAGAGGCTGCATGTGAAGTGGGGTGAGGATCTCTGAGAAGGGAGGTGAAGAGAGGTTTTGCAGGAGAACAGGGCACATAAAGTCCACTCCAGCATCCCCGGGCCCCTGGAGAGCTCCAGGCGCCGGGAGGGGACAGGAGACCCTGGCAGAGCTCTCCTGGCTTTGTCGTTCCTCCGGTCGGCTGTCTCTGAGTCTTTGGTTGGGTATGAACCTCAACCAAAGGTTGAGGGGCAAAGGTTTGTGGGGCAATTAATAACCCCACAGACAACGGTGGTGAGCCCCNGTACTGTTTGTGGGGCAATTAATAACCCCACAGACAACGGTGGTGAGCCCCCGTTTACATTCCCAATCCGGGGAAAAGGGCCTGGTCTTTGTGTTTACATATTAAATCTCTCCTTCAGTAACTCGTAAAACCACACAGCTTCCCGCTGCCGGTGAGAATTTTAAATAACTTTCCTTACGACACAACTGCAGTCGGAGTTACTGTTGTACGTGGTTAAGCGAGCATGTCCGGGATTTGGGAATTAAGACGAAGGCCCTTGAGTCTCCCTCCCCTACCCCCCAAAGAGGAAATTTACAAGCACAGTGTGTTAAAGGGACATCGGGTGGCGGCCGAGGAAAAGTATGAGTGATTGTAAAAAGTTGGAAACTCCCTAGTTTTTGTTGAATTATTTTTCAAGTTTTGCTCTGGAAAGTGTCGTTCAGTTTTAACTTGCGAGTAAGCACGTTTGTTCTACTTGAAGCATCTGGTTTTATAAGCATCGTCTACGTTTCAGTTGTGAGTTGCAGTTTTCTTCTTGTTTTGGGATAAGCAGAGCTTTTTTTTAAAGCCCAGAAGTGACATTTTTAGATTAATTTTTAAAGGGCGGCGGACTGCAGAATCGAGTGACAAGATGAGCAGTGTGACTCTTCTGCGTTGGGTTGGACATACACGAGGCTTGTCCCGCGAGGAAGCCAAGTGCAGACGACTACAGGGAGTTCGCTCCTTCTTTTGGGGGGACAGTGGAGAACTCTTAAGTGGGTCATTGTGGTCTCCGTGGATGGGCAGCCCACGCCCTTGGTCAGTTCAGTGGTGGAACTGGAGAACCTTCCCGGGGCAGCCGCTTACTTAGCGGCCCAGACAGCAGACACGCCCGGTCGAGACTGGAAAGCAGACCGAGGCGGGACCTCGAGTTGTCCTCTTGCCCACGGGTGAGGTGGAGGAATGAAAGCCCTCGTGAGATGTGTGTGGGTTTCATACACCAGCCTGTGAATCTCACTCAAGCACTGTCGGGACTCGGAGCCGGGTTCCCGGCGGCGGCCGCGTAAATGCGTTTGGGCGGCTTG